ACTATGACCAGCTCAAGGGCGATACCTGGCAGGTTTAGCCGTTTTGTACATGCAGGCCATGCCTTTCTACAACCGATATCTCACAGATAGGAGGGCGGTCTTTGTAGGACATTTAAGCATGGCGCAGAATGCGTTTTTTATGGGATACCGGCGTAGTTTGGCGGGGCGAGGGCACCAAATGATCTAAACAAAGCGCCTACAGGACAACTTGTGAACACCAATGTGAATCCCGACTGCCGTAGTGACGATTTCTCTTGTAACCGAATAACCACAGCTATATTCAAGCCACAGCTACAGTTTTGTTCGCTGCGAATGATGGGGCGTGTCAGCGTGGCTTCGTTTGGCGTGTTGCCATAAAATAGTCTACCAGTTGCTGAAAGGGGTAAGTGACAACAAGTGGTGGAAAACGACTGATGCAAACGGTAAGATACAGTCCTGTAGCTCACCGAAAGAAAAAAAAGATGAACAAAACGGGGTGGAATAGCGCCAAACGACTCCGCGCTGGCACGCCCTATCATCCGCAGTGAACAAGACTATTCACTCCTGATAATTTACTGGTTTCAGCCTCAAGATGAGCCGCTTCGAGCTGAAGACTCATCGGAAAGTGAGGAAGAGGACGTTGATGAGTCACCGTCGCCAGTTTTAACACAACGCTATGCGCCGGTACCATCTAGTACCTCAGAGACCGTCGCTGCAATGCATTTTCACCCATCACTTGGGTAAGTGGAATGATTATTGAAGAGTTCACTTCTAATTCTTGGCATTTCCCAACTTTTGCAACCCTGAAACATAGGTTTGTTCAGCGCCCTAATCACAGTGAGACATTAAGTTTCTTCGCCAGTACCTCAAGAACCATATTAGTGTGGCGGGCACTTAACACACACTCTGTATCCCAGGGTAAAAGAGCTCGCACTTGCGGACGCCTGACAGCGCGCTCCATAATTACTACTCCTTTCAGTAGCACTCGACATCGTTAGGCCTCAGTTTAGTTGGCTGAGTATCAACAGGCTTTGAATACAAATAACGAGCCATTTCATTGACGGGAAGTACCAGATCTTCGAAAGGCTACTGCTATATGCTGTTCTAAGAACGCAATTACGACACATCCACTTCCTGGATACAGAGCGTAGCTCCTCTGCTTTCTTATATTATGGGGCCGGGCGCACCAATCAGGAAGGCACAATGGCCGCAAGTCTCCGCCCACCCGGTTATCGCAGAATGTCCCTCTTAGTATGTAGCTCATTGTGAGCAACCGCTCATAGCTGCCCCCAAAATGAACTCTTTCACTACTAGTCATCAATTTTGAAAAAATATTAAATGCGTCTTTCACAGGTCGCTCGACGAACGAGAAGAAGCAGAAGAAGAGGAGAGCAGTCAAGTCAACGGTACACCTCAGCCGATTCCCCACTCGTCATCGCAACCGTTCTCGAGCAATGTCTGCCTTTTTGAACAGAATTTGTCCTTCTCCTTGTTTTTAGTAATGTGATTTTGAATTTAAATAGGGACAAAAAGCTTAAAAGATCTATTAAGGTTCGAAGTGGATCTCCGACGGAGAGTTACGATGTGCCAAGCAGCGTGGTTGATATTACCACACCTGAGGATGTTCGGTGAGGCACCTCTTTCTGGCTGTTTGCCATGAAATTTAATTTTTTTTGTGCTTCTTTACTACTATGGAGTTCCCTTCTTACCCTTATCCGCCGTTTTGGGCCTGTTCTCCTTCCAACGTGCGCATGTCTCTAACACACTTTCCAACCTCACGTTTCAGTTCTTGTGTCTCATTAGGGATGAACGGAGCGCAAGTGCGTTCCGATCTCCGTTGCCATTATGATCGCCAAAATAAGGTCAAATTGTAAGTTACTGGTCGATGGCCATGATTTGAACACTATGGAACTCTATGAATTCCTGCCATTACCTCATGGTAATCTGAAATGATGTATCATTTCGCTGATGAAACTCGTAAGTAGCGTTGTTAGCGAGCAGAGCTATATAGGCTATAACGTCGCAGTCAATTGAAGGCGGTGCCACAAGGGCGGGATGAGCCCGCTTCCGGCTCCCTTGCTCTACCAATGGTGTTCGGCTAGTGATTGATTTAGGAAGGAAACAACCAATGGTGGCAAGGCCGCAGATGAGATCATCTCTCTGCAGATCGACCCGACTGACAGCAATGATTCCAACTGTGTGTGCTAGATGACTCGGGAGACGGGCGATTCAATCGTGGGCTAACAAGGTCCAACTGCTCACGTTACACTAGTTGTCGTCAAAGCAGGAGATTTGCTCTTATTCATGGCGTGTTCTTCAAAGTAACACTGGGACAGATCCCTTCAATTTTTGAACGGAGACCACCACCACCAGAGAATTGTCACACTCCCCAGAAAGTAGCTCTGAGCGCAGGTAACCGTAGAAGACATCTTAAATAAGGCCCTCATTTGATTCGGGACGAGAAGTGGAGATTCATTGATCAGGGCAGGATACTAGGCAAGAGAGACGAAAGAGCACATGAACAAGCGAGACATCTTGGAGGAAGGGGGAGTTACCACCGCTCATGTGGAGACTCTGGAACAACCTTGGCGCTATGTTTTAAAGGCAGCGCCCGCGTTCATTTGATGTTCCTACGCCCTCCTTAGATATCGTAGCTTTGTCGACAAGGGTGGAGGATGTACTAATTTCGCAGCTCAAAAGTACGAGAGGATGGGCCACCCGCTTGTGAAGAGGAAGTCCGCCCCGCCCACCTGGCTGCCATAACTGCTTTGGCTTAGCCTTTAAAGGCTGAGCCCGCTTTCAAGAATAATGAGTTATGGAGCTCATATAATACGTGATCCAGTAGTGAAGAAAAAAGCAGAAAAAAAATCATGGAAAATGCCCTATATAGAACCCTATGCTGGCCAGGTGGGCGGGGCGGCCGACTCTTCACTAGCGAACGGCGCTATCCTCTCGCCTTTTTGAGATGCAAAACTAGTACATACTGCATCCTCATAGGGAGGGCTATGATATCCAGAGAGGGCGCGGGAACATCAAATGAACGTGGGAGCTGCCTTTAACGCGAAACTGGTGCAAGGTAGTCCACTGTAGCGTACACTGGCTTTCCCGCGAAGGGCTTTTATTTTTGTAAGTGGTACTGAACTGTGGCTTAAAAGCCATGGACACGATAGGGGAGGGCGGTTGTCGCCAGTAGCGTTTTTTGAAGGGCTGGGAGGAAGGTAAGGTCAGAAGCCCTTTTGCAGCTCTTCCACCAATGACGCTGGCAGAACCATCTCACCGAAATTTCCGGTTTTCAAATGCTGCCAAGAATACATAGTTCATCCCTGATGATCACTTTAGCCATTACTTACTTTTAACACGGTTTTTATTATTTTGTTTGGTGTCATAACATTTTCTCACGTGCATGTTGTTTAGTGCTCTGCTTCTGCCGTTTATTGAAATGAGGGCTCTACCGTATGCTCGAGGTTTTCGTAGTTTTCCACGCGATAGCATCACCTCAGCGGCATTTGTACGCAGTGGTTCACGTGGAACATTGCTTGAAAGTGGTATCCAAAGTCCACCACTAACATCTTCAGTGGTCGTCAGTTCACGTCGATCAAGCAAGAGGCTCTCCTATATATCACTGTATGATTTCGTTGGCGCCGTACGAGACGACGGATCTTCCACTCACGGCGCTCCCACGTGTGTTTTGTAACCACAATTTTAGTTTTTATTCTAATTTTATTTTGTTGAGTTCATCCAGTTGCAGTGGTCTAATCTTTTTGTAATAGAAGTCACACCTACTTTCAAAGTTTCACTGCATTGTAAAAGCACATTCCACGGTCATCGTAAGGGAGAGCCGGTCATGCTTCCCTCATAGCTACGTCGTTACCGTAATCCGCTAACAAGTTATGCCATGGTAGGCCCTTCCTAGGCGGTAGGCTCCTCCCATATGACGAGCGTGGAATGTGTCTTTAGCCACGAAGCCTGTCCTCCCGAGGAGCGCCGAGCATCACGAAAACGTCTGCGTAGTTTCGTCGCGTGAATTCGCGTGCGGCGCACTTCGGGAGCAGATGCTCTGCACTCATTTAACCACAAGACAACCGAGGTCACCGATGTTTCTCAAAAATCATGCGCTTTAGTACCGTTCCCATCGGCTCCACAAGCGACGCGTTATCCCATTTGGAATATCCGACTCATCATGGAAGCTGGCTTAAAGACCTCTTCTCCTCCTCGAGCTCATCCTCGTTGAAGTTAATAGCTCTAGCGAAGTCAAGGTATTGAACCAAATATCCCGTTCGAATTCTGCCCTAAATTAGGAAGGGCAATCTAGTTGCCCCACCTTCTCTTAACTGTTGCCCTTCTGGAACCGTCGACGGCAAGACGCTTTAGGAACTTAGGTATCACCCAATTTACCAAGCACCTGAAATACCATGGTTTTTACGGTGAAACCTACCGTCGAGGAGAATTTTCGGCACTATTTACTTTCTGCTGCCCATAAAGGATAAGGATAAAGTCTTCGCCGCCGATCAATCTCGCTATGGGATGCGGCACGCATTGTACATCATTCAGAATCGCTGTGGCGTACTAAAATGCAATGTGGCCTATACAATGACTTGCGGTGGCCAGCCGATGTACAAGTTTTATCCTCCCAGACGAATCTGGATTCACCGTCCCCGGAGGGTAGAAGGCTTGGTGGGCCTGGGCGGGAGTCGACCCGGGATTCGAACCCGGGACCGCGCGAATGGTGAGCGCCCACTTGTCACTACACCATCTCCGACCTCCTTACTGCCCATATCATACGGAATCCAAACAGTTTTTGACCGATTTTCTCCGTGGACAGATTTGGCTCGAATGTGGTCTGCTGGGGTAATGTGACCTCCCGAATACGAATATCACATCCGTTTCGTCCGAAACTCCTGGCGCCCGCGCCACAGGCGCCGGTGATTTGAGGTATTTCGGCGCGTGGGCGCCAACAGGTTTTGGGCTGAGCGGATGCGATATTCGTGTTCAGGAGGTCAGACAATCCCTGGGGACAAGTTTTCGTCAATTCTGCTCACAGGGAAAAAGCTGCTCAAAAAATGGCCAGATTTCGGGTGTCTGGTGCAGTAAAAGGTGAATGGTGCCGAACTTTCACTCGATACGACGCCCACACCCTTCACCGATACCCCTCCCATATCCGTCGAGCGGATGGGGAGGGAGGTAGGCACCTATGATCAACTATCAGTGAAGTCAAATTTACGTGCCTCAGCCTAGAAGGTATAGAGCGACTGAAACAGGCAAAATTCATAGTCAAACACTGCCCGTTGGACGCACTGTGACTCCCTCCCCTGGGACCAACTACGAACCCCTTGGAAGTTCTTACGACCCTGACGGGGTTTACTTGGCAAGGGCTAAGTCCCGGAGAACGGCGATCTTGAGATCTCTATGACCTTTGTTCTAAGGGTACGTACGACCGCTTGAGAAAAATTCAGCAATTTACTAAGCCCTCCAAAATTTACTCCTATTCCCTCCAATGGTATTACACCCTCCTCTTTCCCACCCCTGTCTGCCTACAATCTTCCTGAATCTTTCCCAAATTCCCACTACTTTCCAGATTTTTTCTCCCCCCCCCCCCCCCCTCCCTCCCAGAAACCTGCCGTCGATCGGGGTGGGGGAGGGTGGTCAGGGATATGCAGCGCACGCGAAACGGGGACAAACTGAGAAAGTCTAAGTCTAGAAAGACACAGTTCATGCCCCTTATGGAGACATCGTCACGTCACTGGTGGAAGAGGGCTCACATTTCCCAGGTCGGTGGAGCAATCTTCCGACGCTAGCGTCGCCGCCCCTCTATTCAGCCTGAGCTATGACTTCGTAGTAATTTTTAGAGATAAGTGTTAATCGGTGATCTCGGTTAAGTTTCTTTTGTTGAGCTCAGACGTAGTTCAGTGATGAACGATGTCATGTTGAGTTTCAATGTTGTCGTTTAGCCTAATAACTGCACAAAGACCACGAAACAATCAAGATATGCGCGCTGAAGTGCATCGGTTACCACCCACGAGGGAATCGGAAGAAGAGGCGGAACGCCGAGCTAAGTCAGCCGTTAATAACAAACCCATCAACCAGCCATCAGTAAAGAGCGGAAACAGGTGCATAGCTCTGAGAGATGTTGTTTCATGAAAAATTTATGCGGTTCCAAGAACTGAATTAACGCGCGGTCAAATTACTGATACAAGTTACGGTTAGTGCCAGTGGCTAATAAACGCTGAATAAACAAATCTAGAGCAGTACATCCTTTTCATAGAGGATCGTTTTCAGTTTCAATACCGAAAGCACTCACTCGACTTTCCAACCGTGGCCTTCTGTAGAGGAAGTACAATCGAGAAGAGAGCAATTGTTGAAAAAGTCCGTATCAATCATTTCACTGAAATCTTCAGAAATAGCTGAGTAGTTTCATTTTTGTTTTCAAAAAACAAACAATTCATTTTCAGGACACCGTTGCCTTTCTATAAGACTCAAGTGCACAATTCTGACACAAGCACTCCACAATTACTTCAACAACCTGGTCCAAGCAGTACTAAACCTGCTGGAGGTGGTAGCCCTAAAAAGCCAACCACACTCCCACGAAAATTTGAACCTGAGGTTTGCTGCTAAAATTACTTTAGTATCGTCCAATTTTCAAAGGGATTTCAGAAGGCTGATGTTCCGGAGGAGACTTCGTAAGAACATTACTTATAGGAGATTTCAGAAAACATCGTAGTTGAATAATCCATTTCACACTAGTAGCGGCTAGTGGGCATTGGGTCTATGCCAGGTGTACCTGCAGCTCGCAAAGAATTTAGCCCTTCAGCTCACTTGGAAGATACTTTTTGGGATTCTAGTTCAGGAAATCACGGCATAGCGAGCAAACTAGCTAGTATGCCGAGCTAGTTGACTCGACACACCACATTGGCGTCAATCCAGCTAGGTTGGCGATAAAATGCTCTCCTATGCGGCTGAATACCATGCCATTTTAACGTTAAAACCCTTGAGTAAAAAAATGGTCTGATTGTGATTGTCAAGACATCAAACGATACAAAACGGTCGATTGAGCTTTGAGTTTTTTCCAGTATAAATTATTGAAGAATGCGGAGGTGGTGTAGTGACAAGTGCCACGCTTACCACTGGCGCGGTTCTGGGTTCGATTCCCGGTCGACTCCTGCAAAGGCCAACCAAACCTTCTACCTTCCGGGAACTAAAGTGGTACCAGATTCGTCTGGGAGGATAAGAACACTGACTTGTACATCGGCTGGCCCCGCAAGTCATTGTATAGGCCACATCGCATTCAATAAGCCACTACGATTCTGAATGGAAGTAGAATGCGTGCCGCATCCCACAAAGGGATTGATCAACTCCGAAGGTTTTTTATACTTTGTTACTAAGGAAAGGTGCATGCCAACGCCCTGTTGATTTTGCGCCAAAGTGCTATGTCGAGTAAACAAACTAGGTATGCTGATTTGTGAGCGGATCTCCAGAACTACATCCGCAGGCGAGCAGTGAGAAATACTCACCAGTAGCGCGCATGCGACGCGTACCGAGCGATGTCGCAGTGGCAAAAGGCTAGGCAATGATTAGCGCGACGGATGGAAATGACAAGTTCAATCCGTATTAGCGATGAAATCGCTGAGAATTTTTCCCGCTTTATTGAGCGATCATCTTGTGGTAGTCCTTTTTGTTTACATGCCCAGTACTGTTTACCATCCCAGGCGCGTCGCACGTTTGCCCAAAGGGGGTCGTATTCGGTCGCTTGAGGCAAGGCGAATTCGTATTTAAGCTGTTGATTTTTTTACTGTCGATTTCGTCCGTTCCACTCCCGCAGCATACCCCAGCTTCTTTTCAGACTAAGAAAGTTTTCCGGAGAAGGGAATAAGGGATGGGGATACCCTGCAAAAGTTCTGCACAACACCAAGACGTACCCTGTTCCCATTTCTTAGCAAAATGCTTATTGTCTTTTGTGGCAAAGCGGTACCCTTTGCGCCCGCTTCGCCGCGTAATGGCTGCGACGCATTTAGTACGCGCTGCTTGCGCACCGCCAGTGAGTATTTTCATTGGGTCCAGTCGCGCTACGTGCGGCGGGTACACCTGGCACTCATCCGTGAAAATGCACCAAGCCTTCAGTTACGTGTCACTGTTGTGATCGTGGCGTACCCCAATCATAGCAATTCTTTATATCAAGGAAAATTTAATGGTATTATTTTGAGGCATCTCCCGTTGTATCATCAACTGACGACGAAAGACGATCCGTATCGCCATCAAGACGATTCCGTATCTCGGTCTCGCCAACGAGAAGATTAGGAACGGATTCGAGTCCCGGCAGGTGAGTCCATCAGTTTTGCATTTGTTGGTCTTTTTTGCTTTCTATTGGCTCCTTTATGCGCTGTCCAATGATAGACTTTCTAGGAGCGTTCCGCATGATCGTACCTAACCCGTAAAGTAACCAATTCCAGGGATGGGAGGAACGGGGTTTAATGTCGGACTAACCGGCCGTGCAGAAGTGCAGTGGGGATGTTTATAATGAAGAGTGGTGAAGTTACTGGAATTTCTTGATATGAAGATGATTGGAGTTACGGTAGGCCCGAAGCCCGAAAGAAGAGCAAATTTAGCCGGGAAAATCACTCAGTTAATTAAAAAGTCGAGGAAATGGGAAGTTTTGAGGAGCGGTACAAAAGCCCAACTCCCATTCCGGATGTGTCCTTGAACGGAAGCGAATAAAGGCAATATCTCTCGTTTATTTGAGGTAACACTTCAACCTTCTAAGCAACTTTGACTGCTTAGAGAGAAACCGGGAGGCTTCACATGGGGAAAAAAATTCTGCATGGAAAATCAGGAGTCCCTTCCAGAGTGATGTGAAAATAGGGCCTTACAGCGACCCTCTAGTCTCTGGGAAACTTACTTCTTCCAGCTCCTGAAAGGTTACGTACTACTTGAACTTGGTGCTGTTGCGAAACACTCTGACGCAAACATACAAAGGGCATCGGGTGCCGTCGTCAAAATGTGCAAAAAGCAACATATGGCGTGGTGGGTAACGAGTTAGTAAGAAAAGGGGGCACCTATCGAGCTTGAAAAGTTTTAATGTACAGATTCAATGCCTAGAATAACAGGAGTGTACTGCTATCCAAACCTTGGGCGCGCTGAAATCAAATGCCAGCGGTCCCTCCCCTTTTCTTTTCTTTTTTTCCATACGATTATGCCCCACCCCACTAGGATACCATAGTCCCCTGCACGTCCGATTCAAACTAGTTCAAGTCCTGTGCCACGCTTACTAGCTCCCGCTGGAATGTCTCCAAAAACCCATCAGCATAGTATAAGTGACATACTAAACATAATTAATACACGACGGATTGGCGGACTCCGGATGTGAATGTGATTAAGACCCCTGGCAATGTGATTATGACCCTTGGCAAACAGATTAGGTATGCCAGGCATGACCCCGCCTGAATTGAGAGGTGCCCCACATTAATAGACATTCTACCAATGCACGATCGAAAACCGTCTTGGATCTACTACAATCCACCAGCGAGGTCATTCCGCCTCAAATAAACCTCTTACTACAACCACTACTATCACAGCCTGCTTTCTGAGGAAATAAGACTGTCGCAAAAGCGAGAGAGGCCAGAGAAAAACAGAAAATTGATGCGATCAAAGCGGTTGAGTTCAGGTATTCCAAGACCCTCGCCCATCCCTTCCCCCCACCTCAAAGGCACGCTTTGCATTGATTCAATTCGCAGACACCCTTAGGCAGTCCTCCGCAAGCATGAAAAATGTGCTACTCCATGTCCCCCCCCCAATGGTCACGGCAACGCCCGACTTTCATTTCTAAAGACTTCTTGAACGTGCGGTTGTTCCGCTACTAACCCTTCCCCTAATTTCTTATGGTGAGAGGGAGCTGATAAGGGCAACGAGATGACTTCCTTGTGGTACCAACAGGTGAGAATGCACGGCCACGCCCACTCTTCGTCTGTTGCCCGTACATGAGCGGTTCAACATGGGGTCCAATATGGAGCATTTTCGGCGGACTCTTCCACTCTCCCTTCTCTTCAGTGTGATACTATCGAACAATCCCTGAGCCTCATTTGTTGAGTGTTTTCCTTGTATTAATAGTTGAGGACTTGTTCGATAACTTTATTGGCAAGCTTTCGCTGTTTTAATAGTTTCAGAGCCTAAAGTACAACGAAACTGTAAACTGTGAAGCATAGTTGCATTAAAACACTCAATAAAGGTTGAGTTTTAAAATAACTAATCACGTTGGCTAGGTCAATACATTGTCATATGCTGCAAGACAATCTACGCAACTGCTAACAAAGCACACTATAATGAACGGAATGCTTACCCCAACCGCACTGCATATGTGACTGAAAGTCACCCGGACACCAGTTTCGTTACAATTAGTTACTGAATGCGGTCACTTTGCTGAAGGATGTTGGTCACTAATACGTCGGTACGGTGGGATTTATAGGCGGTAGATGAACATGTGCGAGCGCTGTAAAGTCCTTCTATTACTTACTCAAGAAGTGGACTTTCACGATTTTCACGGCATCGCACCCTGTTTCATAAACAAGAAGCGCCGCCCTCCCTTAAAGGCCGTTGGCACGATAAATCCCCCCGATACGAGTAAGATCAATGCGCCCGGCAGGACGGAATTCTGCGACCTTAACAGGCGCTGCATAGCGGCTCTTCTAAGGGAGGTGCCCTTATAAGGGCCCTATCAAAGCACAACATAGGACCCAAGCGCCCGCCACGCCCGCCCGCCCACAAATGGACAACCGTTCCTGACGCTCGTATTCATTCATTTGCTGAGCAAATTATGAGGCGAAGGGATTAGTATGAAGTGGCCGTGATGCTGCATGCATACGTGGGTACAATATGCAGCCGTACCTTCGAGAGCAGTGATTGGCAAGATCCCTGCGGGAAACTCGTCCGAAATTGGTTTTTCAAGTCAGTGAGAACGGAGGCTTTCTCTCCACAGAATTTTGACCGTTTCGCATTCTCCACTGCTATACAAGCCGCCCTAATGAGCATTTTAGATCGAGTACCAAACCATCGTGCAAGCTGCCTTCAAAGTCGCTGTGTTGCACAGCTCGAAGGAAGGCTCACTAGAGAGGAATCTGCTCGAGCTTGCTATCAAACATCTATCTCTTGAAATAAATAACATTGATGAGCATGGGAGCAATGAGTCTAATAGCGGTAGTGATAGGGAAGTAGGGGAAGTCATTAGAAGATGCTTTCATGTCACATTCTGGTGGTTTCAGTTACAGACAGGGGGGGGAGTACAGCATCGTTGTGTCAACCCATGGGGGGGTCGTACTTTTGCTCTGGGGAGGGGGGGTCGTATTTGGAAGACAAATTTATTTTGATAGTTGATTTTTTCTTGTGGAAAAGGGGGTCGTATTAATTTTTTATATGCACTATATGCATTTTGTACTAGTAATTATATACCCCCGCTCGACAACTTTTTCGCCGACTATATACTCATCGCTCGTCGTCGGCGAAAAAGCCGTGGAGGTGGGGGGAGGGGGGTCGTGCCTGGACCCCATTCGAAGGGGGGGGGGGGGGTCGTACTCACACCGACATTTCGCACATCCCCATGCTGTACCCTGGTTACATAGGCAGTGGGGCTCGTCCATTTATTAGAGTGTGCTTTGATAATAGTTGCATACATTGTGTTGCAGCAGATAATAATCTGGTATTGACCTGGCCAATGTGGTTAGTTAGTTGCATAATTCAACCCTTGTTGAGTGTTGTAATGCAAGTATGCTTGATTCATTGTACTTCAACAAGCTGTTAAAACAGCGAAAGCTTACCAATAAAGGTTATTGCACGAGTTCCCAACTACTAACACATTGACGACAGCGTGATACGCATTAATGCGCGCTTTGTAGGCCACGTGGGACCGCGCGAATTGTATACGAATCACGATCAACAAATCCATATCTTTCACTAGTGCATGATTTTTTGTTTAGTTTCTCCTATTCATTCTATAGTCCAGTCCTTAGTATACTCGTACAACGCGTGGTCCATGGAATAGTTCAGTACACAATAGTTTAGCAAAGACTTTTTGGGGAAACATCATCCTTTGCTTGGATTGTTTTGCTCCTTTACTCTGGATTGGTTTGCTCTTCAACTCTTTACTAACAAATATAGACAAATACAATATAAATAATGATAAAAGGTATAAAGAACCACTTTATCCTATAAAGGCGCCAGTTGTGTTTTTCATGGAAACACTGGATACAGAAGAATTTCTGGCACCTGGTGCAACGAGAGCTGGCCTGCCTAGTTTTTTTCAAAGTGACTGGTTAGCTTACTTTATAATTGCTCCTTAAACCAGGTTTTCTGATCGAACCTCCAAAAAGGCGCCTCGTGGGACGGCGTGAATTCTATGCGTACCGCGCCTGTCGCGTTCGAGAAAGCGCGCGTGTCCCACGAGGCCGAAAAGTAAAAACCCGCGTTGTCGTCAACGTGTTAATACAAGAAAAACTTCACTTCAGTGTTGACTACCACTAGTATTTGGATCGCATAGCTCACGATTTCCACACACGGAGCGTTCCTTTAATTGGTTGTGTCTCTTTGTTTGAGTAAGTACCCCACTAATAAAAGTAATGTTTTATAGAAAAGCGCGTCGTTTCACAATCAAACAAGAGTCGGCGGCGCCATCATTGTCATCCGTATGCCAAATGGCGCCACCACCGCTGACATCATCTAAATCTGACGCTAACACGCAGTCATCACGAGCGCCAACTGTCGAATTCGGCGAGGATGATAGCCCTCGCGTACTCGAGTGATGAGAACACGAGTGATTTTCTTATGCACTTACTGTAGGTTTCAAACGATTACTACTGTCTGACGTGTCATATGCTTATTATTATTGCTCTATTATAATATTTCTATAATTTTCGCTGAGCTTTCACTGTTCATCCCCCGTACTGAAACACTGCCCCCTCAATCTAACTCCCTTCCTTCACCCTCTTCTCGCCCACCACCCACTCAAATCATCGTCGTCTTTGCCGCAACCGGTGTGAAAAATCTGCTGATCTTCAAGTGATTTTGGGCTGTATAAGCCATTCTGTTAGAAAAAAAAAGAGCAGCTTGACAAACTGAACATTTCTTTAGACTATTTTTCTGAGTACCTAAAAATTCAATAATATCGACAGCGTTGCCTTGCGCTCTTCAACTTCACATTCCCACTCAGATTCTCATCACTTGAGATTTATTATTGTTGTTTAGGTGAACAATTGTCGTCATATCACAATTAGTTGTATGTATTTACTGAATAAAGTTGAAACAGTAATTATCGCTGTCATCAGATTGCCAAGTCTATCGTAATGTTTTGGACCATGTAGCAGTTAATCTTAAAGTGGGCATTGGTTTCGTGCGTGGGTGATCGATATCCGCATTTCATTTTTTCTACAGATCAGCCGTAGTGGT